AAGAAGAAGAAGAAGAAGAAGAAGAAGAAGAAGAAGAAGAAGAAGAAGAAGAAGAAGAAGAAGAAGAAGAAAAGAGTAACCTACACAAGACTTATTTTTAAAAATAATTGTATTTTGAAAACACTTTTCAATCCTAGGTGACTGAGTTGTAATCTAAGCTCAAGAGACACACAACACCAGTTATTTTTCCACAGATAATTTGTTTTTCCTTTTGTTTTATTTTCAAGACAGTCTCTCTCACTGTGTAAATCTGGGCTGACCTCCAACATGCTATGAAGCCTAAACTGACATATACATAATTGAGGATCTTCCTGACTTTGCCTCATGAGTGCAGGGACTACAGATGAGTACCGCCACATATTATTTCTGCCTTTGATATGAAGGTCTGTTATCCTTCCTCTTAGCGACTTCTACCTCTACCATTGGACACGTTCATTTTCTTCTCACTTCTCACAATTCCTTCTGCAATAAACTGAAACCTTTAATGGTTCTATGACTTTTAGCAGTTCCTTCTGCCTTGACTGTTGACTCTTCAATACAACTTATAAAAATTATGCTGATGTCTTTTGGGTTTCATAACCACTCAGAACCTCAAACTATCACCAGTGCTTTTCACATTCAGTTCCTGCACCAAGTGAAAAATAGACATTCTAAGAAACAATAAACAACCAAAAACAAGGAGAAAAATTATATTAAAACAGGCCCCAATGAGCCCATGGTGGCACATGCCTTTAATCCCAGCACTTGGGAGGCAGAGGCAGACTGGTCTCTAAGTTAAAGGCCAGATGAGTCTACAGAGTGAGTTGCAGAACAGCCAGGACTACACAAGAAACCCTGTCTTGAAACCCTAATGAAAGAATTAACAGAAACAATTTAAAACAACCAAAACAAATGAAAATGACAAGTCAAAAATTTTTGGTCCCAAACTGTGAATTTTAACAACAAACCAAACAATAATGCCAGAACTGAAATGCACAGTAATTAGATCAAGAAAGTCAAATGTATATTTGATGGATTAGATATAGCAAATTTATCTTAATATGTATATAAGTGCACATATATGTGTATATACACACACATTCTGTTGTGGTTGATATGGAGCTACTATATATTCAAGTGTTAATTGTTTGTCCCCAAAGATCTTTATTGTTCAGTAATTGATAGAAACAGTAGAAATCAGCAAAAAGCACAGAACTAAATGCCATCGATAAACTGGATGCATTTAACATTTACAGAATGTTCTACTAGCCATAAAACACAGTCAAGTGCATATCATTCAAGACAGACTATGTGCTGGAGGACATAAAACCGTAACAAACTTAGAGGCATTGAAATCCACAAAGTATGTTTTCTGCTAACGAATGCATTAGGACTATAAATCCATAATAAGGTAATAGAAAAAGTTGCAGTATTTAGAAATGAAACAAAATTCGAAACTGATATATAAAAGTTAGAAAAAATAAATATAAAGAATGATGAAAACAAACACATCAAAATTGTCCCCTTTCCTACATCCATGCCAGCATCTGCTTACAGATAAGCTCACAGCATTTATTGCTTTTACTAAGGACAGTGGAAGTCTTAAATCAATAATCTAAACTTCTGGGGCTGGACAAATGGCTCAACAGTTAAGAATACTTACTCCTGACTCTGAGCGGTCCCTAGCACCCACACAGTGGTTCACAAGTCTCTGTAACTCCAATTCCAGGAGGTCTGTGGTCCTCTTACAACCTCCTCAGGTACATGACGCACAGACATATATGCAGGCAAAATACTAAGACACATAAAGTGAATCTAAAAGGAACTAATAATAATCTAAATTCCTACCCTATGAAGATTTTTTTTTAAGCAAGGCATAAAAGAACCCAGATGTGATGAGTTCTACTTGTAATCTAGTGCTCAGGAATCTGAGGCAGGAGAATTGCCATAAAGTTCAAGCTACACAGTAAGCTGTAGCCTGAGCAAAACTCTTCTCAAAGAGAGAGACAGACAGCACACATGCATAAAGTAGTGGATGGATAATGTGAGACATGCCACATAACAGAACGCTCAACAATAACAAACACATCCATACCCAAGCACGCCTATAATCCTAGCACTGGGGAGGCAAAGGACGAGGACTGTGGGCTAGAGTTTAAACTTGGCTACTAGCAATTTCATGGCCATCCTGAGCTAGAGTCCTTATCCAAACAAACAAAAACATGACTTTTAGGGAACTAGAAAGACAGCTCAATTGGTACAGTGTTTGTTGCAGAAGCATGAAGACCTGAGTTCAATGTCCAGCACCCATGTAAAAGCAAGCCAAATGTATCACACATCTATAACCCGGAGGCAGGAGAATTCCTGGAGCCAGACATTAGATGAATAAGCAAGCTCCAGGTTCAGTGAGAGACTATCTCAAACATAGATAGATAGATAGATAGATAGATAGATAGATAGATAGATAGATAGATAGATAGATAGATAGATAGAAAAATAAATGGCAAGCAGAATGGTTTAGCATGCACAGGTGCTCACTACCAAGCCTGACAACTGAATTTGATCCCCAGAACAAATAACTCCACAGAGTTTTCCTCTGACCTCCACATGCACACCCCAAAATACACATTATATACAAATATAAACACAAGCACACACACAAAATAAATGATTAAAAAGTTAAAAAAAAAAAAAAAAGGTGGAGACTGAGATGTTATCTTTTGGCCTCCACATACATATATACATGTAACATTCACTTACACCCACATGAACACTTATGCAATAAAAGATTAAAAGGGAAAAACTGAAGTTACCACTTAGCCACAAAGCACATTATTAAAGACGGAGAAAATCAATAAAAATCCACAATCGTGTGCTTAAACCATTAGCTTCTACAAGTAAGCTATTACAACCCAAAGGGTTTGGACAATGGCTTAGTGATGTGGGTGCCCGGCATGCACAAGACCCTAGCTTCAATCCCTGAATCACAAAACTAAAATAAAAATAAGTAAGTAATCCCCCCAAAAAAATCTACAGGTAAAATGAACAGGTGACTAAATATGTGTGAGATGGCTATAAAAAGAACCCTGCACAGCAATGAAAATAAGAACGTAGACCGAAGTTCTACTGACACACTCAAAAATAGGCTAATCAATTTAGGAAGTGAAGACCCATTTGGCTAACCAGCAGAGGACAGTGGTTGCTTTCAGGGAAAAGGAAACTTAACCATACCGACCATTGTGTGGTGGTCACTTTGTGACAATCCTCTGAGCTGTCCACACTTCATTCCTGTGCTCTCAGAATGTATGTTGTTTTCATGTTTCAAACTGTTTCAAGAAAGGTTACTCTGCCTCTCTCCCCACTACCCCTAAAAAGGAAAAACTCAGCTCTTACACAATGCAAAATACAATATGGTAACTAACCTGAACTTAATCATCATCTGTAGTCTTGTTCCACAAAAATTCTATTTTACCAAATTATTTAATGGCACAAGACCTACGCTGCTTCAAACTTCATGTATTTAGTTCTCATTTATCCAACATTTTTCCCCTCTCTAATTACACTCCACCGTACTCACTACAGTTCCCTGAGATTCCCCCCCAATTTGGATATTAATTCCTCAAGTCCTTTCCTCATCCATCTTTTCCAGTGCTACCTGCTTCCTCTTTTATACCCAGTATGTCCATTATCACATATAATGTGCTTCAGTTTAACTACTG